TTCTGATGACAGGACTCTTTGATGTGATCAGAACTGCACTGATGACTGTGGTTACCTGCTATTACTAGGTGTCGCCCCACATTTCTAAAAGGAGGGTGGTTTGACCTGTTTACTTCAGTAGGTGAGGGGTTAAGTGAGCGGCTTGCAGGGGAACGATGGCTTAATGGTAGGTTTGTAGTCTTTTTTTTCTTTATTTATGAAGTAGACTCCACCACACTCAGCAACTTTCAAGGTTCTTTGCTCCAAGCTACAAATTCACGTCAGGCTTATTTCCGACAGAGCAGCACAGACCCTGTAATTTCTTTTCCTAATAAATAAAGTAACTCTGATGCAACAATAATAATAAAAAAACAGTCTTCTTTAAAAAACATTTCCACTACGGGACAAAGGGAGATTAGAGAACATCATTCAGCGCCCCTGACTCAGCCAAAAAGTGTCATCAGGTAAGTGCCGCATTGACAGTATGAAGAATTAAAACAGCAGCTGCAACTTTTCACATGACAGCTTCAGAGAATACATATCAACTGGTGATGTGTCGAAATTTTGTGGGATTTGAGCAACCCAAACATTCACAGATGTGTACACAAAGTTGAACACACTTAGAGTTAAATGACAATGTAATTTACATCTTACAAGTTAAATGTTTTTCTGCTTTCCTGTCACATGTGTACGGAGGCGTATTGCATTCACTTGAAGAAAAAAAAATCTACTCTGTTTTTCTGAATTAATGAGTTAAGTTTTCATGAGACATTTTTTTTCTCTGTTTTTCTGAATTAACGAGTTCATTTTTCATGAGAATTTTTTTTGCTGTTTTTCTGAATTAATGAGTTAATTTTTCATGAGAATTTTTTTGCTGTTTTTCTGAATTAATGAGTTAATTTTTCGTGAGAAAAAAGTTTTTGCTCTGTTTTTCTGAATTAACTCAGAGCAAAAACTTTTTTTCTCACAAAAAATTAACTCATTAATTCAGAAAAACAGAGCAAAAACTTTTTTTCTCATGAAAAATTAACTCATTAATTCAGAAAAACAGAGCAAAAAAAATTTTCTCATGAAAAATTAACTCGTTAATTCAGAAAAACAGAGCAAAAAATTTTTTTTCTCATGAAAAATTAACTCATTAATTCAGAAAAACAGAGAAAAAAAATTTTCATAAAAAATTAACTCATTAATTCAGAAAACAGAGCAAAAACTTTTTTTCTCATGAAAAATTAACTCATTAATTCAGAAAAACAGAGCAAAAAAAATTTTCTCATGAAAAATTAACTCGTTAATTCAGAAAAACAGAGCAAAAAAAATTTTTTTTCTCATGAAAAATTAACTCATTAATTCAGAAAAACAGAGAAAAAAAATTTTCATAAAAAATTAACTCATTAATTCAGAAAAACAGAGCAAATTTTTTTTCTCATGAAAAATTAACTCATTAATTCAGAAAAACAGAGCAATTTTTTTTTCTCATGAAAAATTAACTCGTTAATTCAGAAAAACAGAGTAGATTTTTTTTCTTCATGTGAATGCAATACGCCTCCGTACATGTGGGAATATATAATGCAGAACTGCCAAAGTGCAGATGCGTGCACACAAATACATACCATACATCAAAAACCATTTCATATCAGGTTGGGGACAGATCCACTGTGCAGGCATTTAGAAGGCCATAAGGGAACTATTAAGTAAAATTAGTCTGCCCCAGTGGTGTGTCTGACAGGACCAACTTTCATTAAAATATTTAAACTGTAGTTGAATTTTACAAGGAGCAGAGAGAAAAAAAAAAAAAAGTTATGTCACTACGGGTGAAGTCTAACCACAGTAGTTAATAACCTCTTAAAAATGTAAATCTCAAGATGAGATCATTCATCTGCTTTTGCAGGGAATGAGGGATGCTAATTTGTTCTGATAACTGCTAATGTACATTTAATATACATTTTAGATCATTACTTAAGGAAAATAAGCTATAAAGGGACCAGAACAAGGAAATACAAGCATATGAAACTGTGGAAAACACTCAATTGTGGGTATATAGGAAAATGAGAATATACTAAGACTCTTAAATAAATGGCCAATAACGTTTAGTTTAAAAGGTTACAGAGACTGGTTTGAAAAAGTTTGTTAAGAGGGTATGGCTTGGCGCCATCAGACCAACCCATCCTGATCAGAGTACACTGAAAAGTTATAACTGGCAGTATTCAGTATGTTTTATAACTAATAGGGAATTGTTGAACTAATCATTCTTCATTGATTCTTCACTACTAAGAACTACTAAGAACTAATCTGTATGTAATAGAATTTTATGATTGTGTTAAGCAACAGTTAGTAAATCAATAACTAATGAAGTCATACTTCCTGAAGAACTACTACTAATTATCTATTATTAACGTTCAAGAAAAATAACTAATGAACAGTCATATAAAACTACATTGAGACTTGTGACCTTTCTTATACACTGTTATTAATAGCAATTTTAACAAATAGGGAAATATAGGGAACTTATTAGCAATTAATATATAATTATTTGATAATTCTTCAGGAGTGACTTGGAACCTGCACAGTATTCTAAAGTGAAAATATAGGGAACCCCTTAATAATTAATAAATAATTATCAAGAAAATAAGGCAACTGACAACCTGAAACAGTGTTTCAAAGTGAATATAGGGAACCCCTTAATAATTAATAAATAATTATCAAACAATTATCAAGGAATTAGGCAACTGAAAACCTGAAACAGTGTTCCAAAGTGAAAATATAAGGAAATTAATTGTTAATTAATAAACAATTTTTAAATTCTCCAGGAATTACTTAGAAAATTGAAGTGAAAATATAGGGAACCCATTATTAATTAATAAATACTTACCACATTCATCTGACTCAAATCAAACTGTAAAAAACAAACAAACAAAAACACTATGAATGTAATGTACATTATGATTAGTTTTGCTAATGAAATAAAAAGTTATTTGCAGATCAATATATCCTATAGGTATGTCTGGACTTATCTTTCTTATTAGGGCTGGAGAATGACTAAAACTTTTTACTTTTCAAGTACTTTAAAAATGAATTACCTTTGTACTTTTACCAAGGTAATTTTGAAAATGAATAGGCCGCCTAATTATAATTTTACTGGAGTAATATTTTATTGTGGTATCTGTACTTTTACTCAAGTACTTGATTTGTGTACTTCATTCACCACTCCACTGCTAAAATAAAATGAATTACCTGTATTGTAGTAACTACTGTGTATGACTGTTCATTAATAGTTACTTCATAGTTATATTTCTTGAACCATAATTAGTAGTAGTTCTTCAGGAAGTATGACAGAATTAATTAGTTATTGATTAACTAACTGATACTTAACACATTCATGCAAATCTATTACACACTGATTAATTAACACAACTTCCTTAGTTTTTAACAGCAGTGACTTAAGTGTTAATAAATAATTACCCATTAGTTCTTCAGTAATTACTTATTAGTTATGCAGTAAGAAACAAAGTGTTACCAGGTGTGTTAGTCAAATTGTTTTGCCCAAATGAAACGTTCGGTTTATTTTCATGATTATAGTACTTGCAGAATTTCATAACAGCTTGGTTGAAGGTAACATTGCACTTGTACCATCTCATATACACCATCAATGTTCAGAAGGCAAAAAAAGGAAAGTACTGAAACTAAAAACAAAATGTAATCAAAAACCAGTATAAAATCCTATGCTGGGTTCGTGTCAATTTTTAAGTTCATAGAACTTCATTTTAGTTTTTGCTGTTGCAAATAATATAAAATACAATCTTTTCTCAAATGTGTAAAAAAAAGTAACACTAAAAATTGAGAATACAGCAAAAACGATCCACACTTGGTACAACAACATACAAACAAACAAATCAAAAAGATGGTAACAGCTGTAAAGTCCAGGTTCCTCAGTATAGAATTGCATTTGCAATTTAAAAAGAACAGCCATTTCAAGAAATGATTTTCAGTAGACACTTTACAATGATGGATAACTGCTTCAAACAAAAGCAATTACAAAAAAACTAGGGAAGTCAAGAAAAAAAAAAAAGAACCGTTTGAAACATACACACAGTAGATACATTTTTTAAGCATTTCTCACCATACTCAGTTCTCTTCCCATTATGCAAGGCTTTCCATGTGCCAACCATGTATTAAATAGCATTTCAAAGCAATGTAAACAGTGTTAGCTAAATTCACCCCCATATAAATGCAAGGCAACTTTAGAAAACACATGGCTAGTAGAATTTTAAGTGTTTATGCACTTAAACAATTAGTAAACACATATAAAACATCATAAAGCAGAACAGCCAACGTATTTGAACAGGCATTTGATATTACGAGCATTAATGCCAATTTATTAGTTACTTACAGGTTTGTGAGGTCATGTTTGATTAGGTAAGTGCTACTATACCTCTATTTTACCTGCTATTCTCAGTATGACATCCTGGCAGAAATGCGTTCAAAAGCTCTTTGGATACTTGGGTCCGTTCACACAGACCCAAGCACATTTTTCCCCACCACTTAAGAAAAAAAAAAAATCATAATGTGATAAGCATAAAACAGACAAAGTAGAAATTCATTATGAAACATAATTATGAGAAAGTCAAAATTTAGATAAATCAAATGACATAAATCGTGACTTAAGTCAAATGACAAGTCAAAATGATTGGATAAAAAGTACAAATTAAACCTCTTAGTCAAAATTGAAGTCATTGGGTCTCATTCAGAAAGAATTTGTGTGTAAAGTGGTTCTGGCTTAAACTTTCGGATTCATTAAAATGTTCGTAATATTTTCCAAATGTTAGTCGGTACGCAATAAATCTACACCTGCTCCCAGCCACGCATAAATGGTGCGCATTAATAAGGCTGCATTAATTAGCCTTAATCGTGTACATATTTAAACAGCGTTTTGAAAAAAATAAAATAAAATTATATAGTAATTACATACGGTTTTTCTTTTTACTTTTATATTATGAGAGCCAGTAATAGCAGATCTTGTGATCGATGGCGGTCCTTCACCAGTTTGATTACGATTTTTCCGAAGTGAACGAATTCGTTTTTTTTTTGCTGTCAAGCTTAATGTTGAACCATTTTCTTCTCAGGCCATTATGTACGCTCGATAGGCCATTATGTACGCTTGAAAATAAAATGTGGCGTTTTGAATGAACTTCTGATAATAAAACTTCAATTTCTGCATCTGAGAAATCTTTCTTTTTCATTCGCATTCATGTTATTATATGCCTATATATAGGTGTCAGTCGGATATAATGGGTGGGATTTATGCTAATGGAGAATGACATGCACGCGCATCCCATTTACGACTGGTTGGAATTCACTAACACACACATTTCACTGTCACATCTGATGTTTACGGAGTATTTGTGAATCAGGAGAAGAGTTTTCGGGAAGGTCTCTTTACGCGCAAATCACTCTCATTTTTATATCACTCTCAGTTTCATGAATGAGACCCCCCAATGAAATGTATCTTCATTTTGACTGGTCCTGACCTTAACCAAGTCATAACTATGACAAAAAACATTATGAAGTGTTTTTATACACACATGATAAGTTCTCATAGTTACGACTTACTATGTCAAAATTAAGATTTACCAAAGCATTTTTCCCTAATGTGTTGGAAATGGGCTTCCATGATTCATTATGAACAGGTTATAGTTTTCAAATAGAACACCGGAGGCAAACTATTCACCTATTGTCATAAAAAATAAAAATTAATAAATAGACACAAGCAGCACTTTCTGTTCAGTAAATATGACTGAATTCAGGAGACTTAAGCAGTTCTGTGTAGATTAATGACTATTTGGATGTGGCCCACAACCTCATGTCAATTACATTTCAGACTATACATTTTTATAATCATTTTATTGAATAAAAAAAAAAGATTACCATTTTAAAATGCATGGCCGTTATTAAAGGAAATATTTATAATAGTAACCACAAAATTTGACTGTTTATTTACTTTTTTTTGGTATGGCAGTTTTGTTTTTCGCAGTTGAAAAGCTGTGAGAGTAAAGTTATGCTGCTGCTGCTGCTTTGATTATGTGCCTGCTCAAGTGTCCGCTGTGAAACAGGCCTTATGTTATGAAACGTATATATAGATAAACCATGTAGGAGGAAAGGATCAACACAGTAAGTTTAGATAACCAGAAAAGATTTTTGTCAGGCTTAAAGTTTTGATTCAGCAAGTTTTCCAAGATATATAGTCATAACAATAGCATGACCATACATGATCAGGTAAGCAAAGACATTGTCTAGAATAGATCCCGAAAAAGAGACCCTGAACAGAACCTTGTTATTATTGCTAATTCAAATGATATTTTTGCATTATATAAAAAGACCCAGTCAGCGAAGAATGATGTTATTCATCACTTAGTAGATGCTGAAGTGATAAACTGTTTCCCCCTTATACATTTGATGATAATTATGATGCCAATAATGATGATGATCACAAGAAGTCCATTTCTGCTTCTGTTTCAGGGAAGACTTACCTATAATAATGCAACTATGACCTTTTAATGTCCCCTGAATGGCTAGGTTAAACCTTTAGCTCCAATTCACCAAGTCCTGTCGTTTGTGTCATTAAAAAGAATATCATTTCAGAAGTTCTTGAAAATTTCCAGATCCTTAGCTGGCACAGGCGTGTCCTTCTTCCACTCATCGTCTGGATAGGTGTCAAAGTTAGACGTGTCACCCTCATGAGATACCTTTGGAACTATGGGTGGCTGTCACAGGAAGGAAAGAGAGAAACTCATTAACAAAGCTTCAGATACAGCTAAATATAGCATTCAAACATTCAGGGATACTACTTAAAAACAACAACAACAAAAAACTCATTTTAATCAGTAAGGATGCATTAAACTGATACAACGTATCAGTTTACACAAACATATTAAGCAGTACAACCTTTTCAACATTGACAATAATAATAATTACTCTTTCTTTTTGACAACCAGCTTACATCCTCTTTTTAAAGTGACCCATATCCGATATCTGCATTTATCCTATACACTTGCAAAACAACCCAAGGTAGACATACTGACCCGGAAAGGTCGGCTTAGGCTGATGGGCGCAGACAAAATTATAATAAAATATTTTACTTTCTGCACCAGAACATCAAAACATTTGGTTTTCATAAACCCACTGAACCCTAAACCAACTGAAAAAGAGTCATGTGATTACGGTTGGTGTCTACCTGAGTCGACGACATTCGCCACTGTCACTTTTTCAATTACGTACGACTCGCATTGACAGGGGAATATCCATTCTGTCTGCTTTAACGCACAAATCCGATTCATATTAGATTTTTTTCTAATATCAAAATCCATGTGTTATTTTTGTTCCTGTTTACACGTTCGTGGGTCATTTATGATCTTTGCCACATGGGAGAGGGGAAAAAAAATGGGAATTGGGTCTTAGAATGAAAAACATGACACTGAAGACTGAATTAATGACCGCTGGATATTCAGCTTTGTCATAACAGGACTAATTAATTATTATTAAAAAGTAATAATATTTCACAATATTACAGTTTACTTTTGATCAAATATATGCAGCCTTGGTAAGTATAATTGAATATTGGTAGTGTACACTGTACTTTCCATTATCTAGCTAGCAAGGCCTTCTGGGAAACTATGCAATATGTCCAGTAAACCTTAGGGAATATTCTGGCTTTGAAATTCTAACAATAAAAGCAAGTGAAATAGTAAAACAGAATTACTTTTTAAAGAAGCGTTGACACTTATGTACGGAAGCCCTGAACCGCAACCTAAAAAAAAAAAAAAAAAGTCAGTAAAAAAAAAAAAAAAATCTGTAAAAAAAAAAATCTGTAAAAAAAAATAAAATAAATCTAGCATTTCGAGATTAAAGTCGAAATGTTTCGAGATTAAAGTCGAAATGTTTCGAGATTAAAGTCGGAATGTTTCGAGATTAAAGTCGGAATGTTTCGAGATTAAAGTCGGAATGTTTCGAGATTAAAGTCGAAATGTTTCGAGATTAAAGTCGAAACATTGTGCATTCATAACAGTGCGCGTCCACTGGCTCAGAGCGCGCGCGTGTGTGTGTGAAGTTGAACTGCCATGGATAAACCCAAAATAGTAGCTTTTCGGTCTCCTTTGATGAAACAAAACACACACACACACACACACACAGTGTGTGAAACTCGCTATTGGCCATTATGAATGCCTGTGTGTGCGGCCATGTGAGACAATGGAAAGCACACACGCGCAGCTTCTATGCGATAGCGAGTTTCACACTGTGTATGTGTGTGTGTGTGTGTGTTTTGTTCATCAAAGGAAATTCAACAGGTGCCAATCTACCAGCATTAGGCTACCATTATAGGACTTTAGCCTATAGGAAAACCAACACGGAAAACACTTTTCAGACTGGATGGAGAAATCCAGCTTTATGAATGAATGAATGAATGAATAGGGCATTTATAGCGCTTTCATATATGCCTACACTCAAAGTGCTTTACAATCATATCACAGAATCTCTTCTCAACCATAAGTGGTTATTAAATCTTAGGAAATCACAGGATCCGGCCAAATGATTGGATACAGAATGATGCACTTAAAATGTATCCAGAGCGTATTTACGGGGAAGAGGAGACCGAACAGTTACTGTTGTGTTCTCGACCCAGATAGTGTTGACTAGACGATCACGAAAACACCTCAGAAACACTGCCACTAGCACGTGTGACGTGTGTAGAATTTTGTTGAAAGCCCAGATAAAAGTAAAAAGCTACTATTTTGTGTTTATCCATGGCAGTTCGACTTCACACACACGCGCGCGCTCTGAGCCAGTGGACGCGCACTGCACAATGTTTCGACTTTAATCTCGAAACATTTCGACTTTAATCTCGAAACATTTCGACTTTAATCTCGAAACATTCCGACTTTAATCTCGAAACATTTCGACTTTAATCTCGAAACATTTCGACTTTAATCTCGAAACATTTCGACTTTAATCTCGAAACATTTCGACTTTAATCTCGAAATGCTAGATTTTTTATTTTTTTTTTTTTACAGATTTTTTTTTTTACAGATTTTTTTTTATTTTTTTTTTTTAGATTTTTATTTTTTTACTGACTTTTTTTTTTTTTTTAGGTTGCGGTTCAGGGCTTCCGTACTTATGTGTCCAACAATGACCTGGAAATCTTACAAAAATGATTATTGGTAATAAATGAATCTTTAATAACAGGGCATATCCTAAAACTCTATATGACAGAACTGCGGTGCTTACCTTGAGTTTTCTACAGGGCACAGACTCCCAGTCTACTGACTTAAACCATCTGTGCTTTTTCACATCATCAGCCCCATTCTGGAAGAAGACAAAAATAATACACAATAATGTGATGGATTACTAGAACTAAATGAACATTAAAGTAGAATCAAGTCTTACATTTCGAGACAAACCATCACAGTTAAAACTGTGACAAGAATAAAAACCTTTAAATGTGCTAGAATGGATAATATATCTTTTAACGCTTTTAGATCTGACATTGAACATTACTCTTCATTTGAATCCATTTTATACCGAACAGTCTTTTCAGCCACTGTGTTGTCTTTTTAGTTTCTTAGAGAGGAAAAGAAAAGTGGGGCAACAATGCAAAGTCTTCTAGAAACCTCAGAATTTGGGCCACTCGTTGCACAGTGGGACCACTCAAGTGGAATAACAGATATCTGCACTTGTGAATGAGCGCTGCCAGCAGGACCTAGCCTTGCTGTGGAAACAGTGCAAACACAGCTGTGATTGGGCTGCCGGCTATTAAACTCTCATAAGGAGTCAGAGGAGAATAGAGTGAGAGAAAGAAAGAGAGAGAGAAAGAAAGAAAAGCTAAATTAACAATTGAAACATCAAGATAAGTCCACCCAACACTGTGAAATGTGACATTTCTTCAAAACTTTGCCATCTTTGTCTCCTATTCTGAATATGCATTGACAAAAAAGTAAATCTGAATAAACCACAATTTATTACATCTAAAAAACAACAAACAAACAGAGATATACATTTTAGTGCAGCTCGTTCCTCACATGCATAGAATTATAATAACAGCATTAACTGTTGCTAATTGGAAAATGATGCTCAGACGCAACCATTCACAAACTTCCCATGACATCATCATCACGATATGCATCACATTATGCGTGACAGGCCTGGTGCACTGCTGCCACCTCATCTGGCGCCAGTTATTGAATTATTTCCTCTCAAAGGACAATTTGGAAAAGTAACTGCCATTAAACCACAACTGTTTGAATTACTCAAGCTGGAGATGCAGAAACATTTTGCACAAGGACTCTGTCTGCAGTTCTTTCCACTTCGTCTGATGGGGGTTGGGAGAGTTTCCCGGTGTCAGAATCACTCCGTGAGTGTCCAGGGAGTTTCTCCAGGGCCTCATCTCATCCCCTCTAGGCAGATAGGCAGCCTCCTTATCATAAATGGAAACATGTGGCCAACTGAGGCCTTTGGGAGAAAAATCTCGCAGGACTCAATCAAGGTCTTATTATTTGCTTAAGATGCAAAATTGGCCTAGAAAAAGTTTAATGTTGGATGATTCATGGATTCTCTACCTGGCCTTGAACGTACTATAAAGAGTCCATATGGACAGAAAGAAGAGTGGATCAAATTAATTATGTTCTCAAAGATATTCGACATTGTATTTTGTAATCTACAAAATAATCTACATTGTTAAAAGTGCTATATAAATGAAGATGACTTGACAAGCACTATAGCTTATAGAAAGTAACATGCTTACCTTCATGTTTCCAAGCCTTCTTGCCCGGTCAATCACCAGAAACTTCTTGATTAGGTCCCTAGTCAAACAAAGACAGAAGATGAGAATAAAAAGTAAAGATGTACAAGGAATAAACTAAGATTAGGAAGACTGCATTATTGAAATTCTGGCTGATTACAATAATTATTAAGTATTGCAATGTTATGATAACCAATAAATGACTAATATTAAATACCAATATTGTACTACTTAGCTAAAACGAAAAGAAAATGAAATTAAAAAACTAAAATAAATTATCTGTATACTACATTTTGGCAACATAGAATTATAATCATGCAGTATTGAAATCTGCTAAATAAAAGTATACAAATACTATATAAAAGCAAGTCTTGAAAAAAAAAACATATCTAGGAATGTGTGTGGTTGGAAACAGTTTATGGCACTTTTCAATAGGTAACAATAAAGTTTGAACTATTCTGAACAATGTCTGAAACTTTGTATTACTAGCCCTTCTTGTATTTATCACCTGCTTAAGATGAATCATTTGTTGTATACTCATTTGTAAGTCACTTTGGATAAAAGTGTCTAGTAAATGTAAATAATTATAAATGCAATGTTTGTTGTACTCTTAAATCTTCACTATACTACAATTAAATTGTATGCTAGATGATGGCAAATGTAACTCTATATATTCTATTACAACATGTGGAAATATTTAATATCCACCCTTAAACTATATATCGCTAAATGTACAAAAAGCAAAATATCGAATTCTTGCTGATATCTTGTGTGTCCCTACACAAGAGTGGCCTGCTTTGTACAATACATATTGTACAAATATGCCAATTTATTTTTGACAAGTGCCTGAAAAGTTTGAGAAGCACCATCATATAGAGATTATTCAATGTGCAAAAGCTTCCTAAAGCTTATGAACATAAAACCAATTTCTTCAAACATAAAAATCTTTGCACTTTGACAAAAATAATCTGTATCTCTGATCCAACACGCTCCAAGCTGTGAGGATGAGCGCATTAGCATGTTGACTGCTGTGACGCTGATATTCTCACTCAACCTAACACGAGAGACGCCTGGAGCGATCTTGCAACAGATGACCTTACCATTCACTCAAGCCTCCCTGGCAGATGTTATTCATTCTCCAATGATCATGTGTGTTTGACTTCACGATACTATCTTATCAAGCTTGTTAAACCTCTAGTGACAGGACACGTCGTTAGGCTACTTTCACAATTGTAACTAGAGTAAACATGTCAGTTAAGGAAACACGGATTTCCTTTGCCTGAAGTGACTGTCTGTCTCCATTTCCGAGAGCTTTCTTAAGCTGTCTTTGTCTCTGGAGTGCAGACCGTTTGAAGGAATAAACAGCAGTTAGCCCCAACAGTTAGTTGACAAAAGTCAAGTCATATTAGGAAATGGAGCTGTGATGTCATTTTGTGTACATGTTTGTACAGCTGCAATGACTTCTTAGATGATACAACTAAGAGAGGATATTGTTCTATATAATTAAGGATTAATTTTGTATTTTTTGAACATCAAGATGAAACGGCAGCTTGTTTGCTGAATCCTGAGCTCCTTCAGTTCAAAAGCACCCTGAGTAGTGGAGTAAACAGACCCGTCTGTCTGTAATCTAGAGGATTCCTCCACTCCTGCAGCTGCCAGAGTGCTTAGATGGGTTCATTAGAGGGCATGTGTATCTGTAGCCTCGTTTCCATCCACTTTTTGCGCTGTTATGTTATCGACAAAGTGAATATGCGGAAAAAAAACAATACGAAATTTGCTGTCTTCTGACTGTTTCCATTCAATTGACCTTTTACCGATAAGATTGTGTGCGTGATGACGTCACGAATGACGAAAGCGATTTGTCGCATATGTTTTGGTCTATCGCAAAAAAAAAGTGACTTCAGCCGTTTCCATAAACATTTTTTTTAATTTTTTTATTTTTTTATCGCAAATTATACCTTTTGAGGTTCCAGTCAGCACACCCTCAACACCGAAACAAACAAACAAGAAAATCAAAAGAGTAGGCTATTCAGGCAGTTAATTGAAATTTGCCAACTTACTGTCATTTCAATTAACAGTTACACAAATAATTGCAAGTGTCCGAAATATCAGAAGACGATGGCAGAATGAAGCAGTTGCTCATCTGATAGGGCTCGAAAACTACCCTTATTATGCGACGAAGCCCAAGCGTCTGGGAGAGACCACGCAATAAGGCGTTCTGGGAGGAAGTTGTGGAGATACACTTTACAGAAAGTCTCTGGGTGCAACATTTTAGAATGACACGGCCGACGTTTGAGATGCTGTGTGGATTCATTGGTCCTGATGTTGCGCCTACCCCAGGTTGCCACCGACCACCGGTTCCAACACGAAAGCGGATTGCCATTGCCCTCTACAAGCTGGCAACCTGCGCCGAGTATAGAGTGGTAGGCGAAACTTTCGGGGTTAGATTTCTCTGTCGTTTCCCGTCAAAAATACATGTTATATCATTTTCTTCCATTAAATGGAGAAAATAACGAGTCTCCTCATCTGTCCACGAAAACCGCTCCGAGTCCGCCATAGTGTTTGTTGTGACGACGACTGCACCTTGCGCGTGAGGAAATTATCACGTGACACCACATTTTTTTGCGTGAAAGGCCTTTTTCTCGACAAAAAGTGTTTCCAAACTCGTTTTTCGCGACATTTAAAATATCGACATAACATTTATGCGCTAAAGTTAAACGGAAAAGGATTGTGTCGACATTTGCAAAAAAAAATCGATAATTGGTGTTTCAATCAGCTATATCGGTAAACATTTTGATGCGCAAAACCTTTTTTCGCAAAAAAACCCTTGGATGGAAACCTGGCTTATGAGAGCATCTCTCTTTGAACTATGAACTGTCTAAGGCCGGATTCACATATAGCGCCTAAAACGCGTAGAAAACGCTGGGCGCGCCGCATTGTCCATTTTGCAAAGCGCCAGGGCGGTTGCGCTTCAGTTGGTTCTTGTCACATGACCTATTGTGTGCATATGGTGCACTTGCGGTATTCTGAAAAGTTGAGATGTTTTTATCTCAACGCGGCGCGGACGCGCATGGACAAAACGAGCGCGTCGCACCGCTTCCATTATAAGCGCGCATACCGTGCGCCTACATTTGAAATAACGAACTTGAGCGCGCAAAAGACGGGATATGTGAACCGGCCCTAAGGCTGCATTCTCACTGCAGGGGCTTAATGCTTAATGCTCAAGCCCGATTTTTTGAAAAAATTGGATTTTTTGCAAGGCCGTTCACATTTCCAATTAAATGCAACCTTTTGTGATCTCCTGTGTGAACGTGAAATGACCCAGAAGTGACCAGCATGCGCAGAAGAGTACTCAACGGTCCACGACGTCACTTGTTTGTGGAAGTAAGGGCCAATCCCAATTCTACCCCTTACCCCTTCCCTTCCCCTTGACCCTTGAAACAGAGTGGCAATGCGTAGGGGTGAAAATATTCCCCTAAAAAATGGGACACCACTACGCCTCCGTTAAACGTCATTATAAGTCGTCGCTAGCGCCTACGTCACAGGAGATGCGCTGATGTTTATAACAACTTCCAAGATGCCGTCAACAGCTGCAGTTATCTCAGTCGCGTGGGTTACAGCTATTTTCTTGCATTTATCTTGTGAAGTTCGCAGGAAACAACGGAGACGACGAAAATATGCGGGACTATCGTTAGCAAACTACAGTAATTTTAGCGATTTTTTTACAAACATTTCTGTGAAGAAACTGACTGTAAATATGAACACAATATTGAATGTAACATAAAGCAAATCATTATTTGTCGTTACAATACTTATTAAAGCCACAAATACTTAAATTTATGGGTCTCCTTTGTCGCTTGGGCAGCCAGCCTGGGTTAGCAGTGACACTTCTCATACCCCTTCGTTTGAAGTGTGCTCCCGAAAAATCTTCGTTTGAAGGGCTATCTGGCCCTTCCCCCTAGCCCTCCCCCTCCAACCAATAGAGAATTGGGACAACCCTACCCCTTCACGTGGACGCGCAAAACGGAGGGGAAGGGGAAAGTGAAGGGGTAAGGGGTAGAATTGGGATTGGCCCTAAATGGTAAATGGACTGCATTTATATAGCGCTTCCAAAGCACTTTACATTTGCCTCACATTCACCTATTCACTCACTCATTCATACCCCGATGGCGGTGTCAGCCATGCAAGGCGCCATCCAGCTCGTCGGGAGCAGCTGGGGTTAGGTGTCTTGCTCACGGACACCTCGACAGTTGGTCAGCCATTTTAGTGCTTTTAGATCTCACTGCTGCTTTTGACACAGTTGATCACACAATTCTTTTATCTCGTATGGAAAGCTGTGTGGGAGTCAGGGGGACTGCCTTAAAATGGTTTCAGTCTTATTTTTCTGAGAAATGCTACTCTGTTAAAACGGGCGACTTTATTTCATCTGATATGCCTCTAAACTGTGGGGTCCCTCAGGGATCAATTCTTGGTCCCATTCTATTTGCGATTTACCTTCTTTCACTGGGACTAATTTTTAAAAAACATGGCCTCTCCTATCATCTTTACGCTGATGACTGCCAAATTTACTTGCCAATTAGAAAGCATGAAGGCAGCTCCCTAACACTTCTATTTGACTGCTTAAACAATGTCAAAGCGTGGTTAGCACAAAATTTTTTTAAATTAAATGAGAGTAAAACCGAGATCATGCTTTTTGGCCCCACAAACCCCATGATAGATTTTGGCAGCCTAAATGACTTTGTGCATCCTGTTATTACTAATCTGGGGGTAAAAATTGACAGTGATTTTAAATTTGATAAACAAATAAATGCAGTTGTGAAATCTTGTTTTTATCATCTTCGTCTTTTAGCTAAAGTTAAACCGTTCTTGTCTTTTAACAGTTTTGAACAAGCTATACATGCTTTTATTTCATCTCGATTAGACTACTGTAATGCACTCTATACCGGTATAAATCAAAACGCACTTTCTCGATTACAGTTAGTCCAAAATTCTGCAGCACGACTTTTAACAGGAACCAAAAAGCGCACACACATAACGCCAATTCTCGCCTCATTGCACTGG